TCCCTCGGCTGATCACGGTAACAGGGAAAGCGCTGTTGGAAAGGAGGGGCAATGGAAACTTGGACAGGAGGGCTGGCAGCTGCTTTCCCACTTGCTTCTCCAGGGGTGGCCCAGCTACCATGTTGGTCATGAGTTTTGGGTCTGTTGTTGTGTCATTTAAAATCACCCTATAGATTATCCATGCAAAGTGTGCCAAAGAGCATCTGGCAGGTGAAAGGCAGCACTTCCTAAAAGCCTTCCTGATGTGTGTTATAAGGCAAATATGGATCTGGGCAGCATTCCCCACTAGCTTGCTAGGAAATTTGGCACCACTTCTTCCAGAATGCTTGGCACAGATCCTCCACCACTGGGATGCCTACTGTCCTGTTTGCAAGTCAGGCAGCTGATCAGGAGAGGATGAGAGGACTTGAAGCCCTGGCCAGGCCTTGGGATGGAAGGGCGTAGGTGGATTTGCAGGGTTTCTCTAGAGGGTGTTTATCCCAAGAAGGTGGATGGGGGTTTCTGGAGGAGGCCTCCTCCATATCTGCATTGATATCCAGCTGTCATTTAAAGTTCCCTAGACCAAAAAGTAGTGCTCAAGCCCTGTAACGCCCTGTTAACTCCTTGCTCCTACTTAGCATCAGGGATGTGCCTCGGAGTAGCAGAGCATATGGACATTACAGGAGCCTTCTAGGATTTCCCCATGAACGTGTCCCTAATGCCAGCTGGGCATAGAGGATGCTGCTGACACTTCCATCTGGCATTTGCCCACTGCCTGCCTTTCGGAGACCGCCGGCACCTCAAGATAGAAACAACCAGAGCTTTGGGTTGCTCTTGGATTTGAGATGCTGGGCTGGACTTTGTGCGAGGCACAACAAGGGTTAACAGGAGAGCGTGCTCCGCGTTTCTAGCACTGAATTATAATGGCTTTCCCAAATTCCCCCCTGTGCTTCTCACGTGTTGCCTAGCATCTGTCGCAGTGGCTCAGTAATCTAATTAACTGCCTCTCGGCTATTAAATATTGCAGCAAAGAGTGTGAGGACTCCATCATTTTCTGTTCAGGTCAATGGGGCCTCCCCATAAGAGCCATCCTAGAGCTGAAAATTAATTTTCTCAGCAAGCTGGTCGCAGGCACTTCTGAATACTAAACCTCTGCACCATCCACACATGGGAGTGGGGCTAGGGGCTTTTTAGGGTGGAGTCGGCTGCTGCAGCAGCTACTGAATTAAATCCTAGCTTGGGTTTCCAGCACATGGAGGGGCACGAGGGCTGGCCGCAGCCACATATACCTGCTGCTAAGTCAGCTTCTCCAGTCTCAGTAACAAGTGCGGTTTTCTCAGCGATTCATTTTTAATCAATGCATTTTCGAGCAGTTCTGGGGCTTCAATGTTCCCTTGCCGCCTGCGGTCCGAAGCCCTGGACACGTGGAGGAGGAATAGGAAGTGACACTGCCCAGTCTGCCCCTGGAGCGACCTGCAGAAAGCTGGTGGGAAGTGCAGGCTGCAGTATGAAATGCTTGTGGTGGCGTTACTTCTCTTGGGCTAGAAGAGGCTGTTTTAAAACCACCTGCGTTCTTAACAGTGAGCATCCCATCGCCAAGACGTGGGATCTTTTTGTTCCCTTTATTTATAAACTCATTCATTGTCACATCCTTAAGTAATGAGGGCTCCTGGAACCAAAGCTCCAAAATTGGAGAGTAACGTCTGCAGTTAAACGTGTCTGCCCGGAGTGACTATCCCACGTTGCCCAGGCTGAGCCCCCAGAGGCTTGTCCCGATTTGTGATGGGCTTGGTGGAAAAGCTGGGAAGATCCCTCTGGCAAAACAGCCCTACTCTGAGGGCTCCAGAGTAAGGAGCTGGAGACGACAGCTCCAGGATCACTTGTGTCTTTGGCCACCATCTCCTTGAGAGGCTCCCAGGTTATTATGGGAGCCTGTTGCAGCTCCCAGAATCCGGGACTCTAAACTGATGCCTGCCTTGGCATAGATAAGGGCAGCTGAGAGGGGATCGTGGCCAAATAGCTCTGACTGAGCACAGAGAGCTGGACTGTGGCATCCTCCACTTGCTTCCCTTCTTGAACTCCTTCTACTCTGTCTGCCCAAGAGGAATCGGGCTGTGACCAAGGGTTGACAGGGAGCGCTCTGCTGTCTGTAGGGCCCCTGGGGATTCAAGGGATCAAGGTAGAATATAGGTTCACCTGGGACGTTCACCCTCGCCGAGGATGTCCCACCACTTGATGTCTGAGCGGGACGCAAGAATGGTGGAGATTGAACAGGATGGTGTGGCGTGCAGAGCACGTATTTGTAGACTGCGATTGTTTGGAAGCAGACCAACTTGGTACCCCCAGCCTGCTGCGGTGCTGGGGCAGGGAGTGCCATGGGGTCTGCCAGGAAAGGGCCCCCCAGTAAGCTCTGGAGAGTTGGAGGATGCTGGGAGGCAGTGACTGCCCTTCTGCAGCATGTCTTGGATGTAGGCAAGGGCAGTGTCTGGCAGGGTTTGACCTTTGCCCTTACCCCCCCCGGATTAAATATGAGGGTGCACACATTGTGGGCAGCTCCGTGCGCCAGTCCAGCACAGAGGGATCTTCCCATTCCTGCCTGGCAGCTGAGGAGATGCCTGCTGCAGGTCGTGTTGGCCAAGACCATCTTCTGGCGCATCCAGGGCACTGCTGCCAGTAGCACCACCAGCTGCTGGTTTTTTCAGCGGGGGCTTGTCTGCGGAGACCTGGAGGTGGAGACGAAGCCTTTCCCTTGTGCAGAAGCAGGGGAGAGCATCTGGCCCGTTCTCTGAGACCAGCTGCGTTCAGGTGCATCTTCATGTTTCCCAGAGCACCCACATATCTGACTATTTTTTGAGCTTCTACAGTATTCAAGCCTCTCTGCTTCTCAGCATGGTAGAAACCTCACTGCTGCTGCCCTTTGCTCTGTTTACAACATCTCTCAGTAAGGAGCAAGATGTCCATGGCTATTCTTTGAAATCCTGTGCTTTCAGCCTGGCACACATTGAACCAAAAGCCAAGGCATGTTTGGCCTCTTGGGGCCAAGATGAACTTTCATTCTTCTTGGCTGCTAACTTTGTCCAGCTGGTTTCACTGTCCAGAACCCAGAAAACTTTCCCCGCATCCTGACATTTCTGCCATCGCCCACTGTGACCAGGGAAACGTATTGGGGACGTCCGTCCCCTTGATGGACCTTCATGTTCATTGCAGCATGGCTTTGCAGAGCACTAGCGTTGGGCTGTTAAACCACATGATAAAGCATAGTTGGAAGGTTTGTGCTCAGGAGCGGGGGGGAGAGGGTTTTTTGGGTGGGGTTTAAAGACATAAATGGGAAGTAGGCATGTAATGGGTTGATCCATCTTTTTTTCCTAGGGCCATGGGTGCCTAATGGTGCACATATGTCGTCCCCCCGCCCTGCAAAATGCTGATCCACAAAGCTCCCAATCCTACCTTACTTTAGTTTGAAATGCAGTAATCATAACTGGAACAAACTTGTTTCCAGGAAGAAGCTTGATCTCCCACTGGGCCAGGTTTCAGCATAGGCCGGTCTGCATCAGAGCCCCTTTCCGCAGGGTTCCCACCAAGAATGCAGTGTGACAGTAAAGTAAGTGCTGATCCCCACCAGTAATTCCAGGGATCAAGGGTAATTAGCAGCTTTAAAAGGAAAGGCCTGATCTTGCCCAGCACACGCAGCCCTGCAACTGATTTCTGTGTCTCAAGTGATCGGTGACCCATGAAATAATAACATTTTATTGGTCCTCTGCAAGGCTTAAAAGTGATGCGGACCCTCTTTCTTCCCATTTGGACTTTTTTATAAGAGATTTGCTCAGCGTTTCACTCTGTCTCACTCTCTGAATACTCACTTTGCCTCTTTCCCACGGTACAATATTAGTTTTGTTAATACTTCCTGCATTAAACAGCAGGAGAGACACATTATGAAACTGCCCTGTTTCACTTTGGGAGCTGGGTGAGAATGAGCAGATTCGATGCAAAGAGGCATGTACAAACTCCAGAGATCTTCAATAAGGACAGGATAAATGCAAATCAATCGGGAGCCTGATCAGCTGAGTAGGACAGGCTGTTCTCTTGCTAAATGAAGAACAATTAAAGCAGGCAACATTCAACAAAAGCAGCAGCACCAGCGAGGACCGCTCTGCCCCTGGAGCAGCAGGAGGAGAGCATATATAAGAATGGGCTTATTCCATACAGCTTGTCTGAGGAGCTTATCGGTGTGGGATGTAAGGGGTCAATTTGCAAAGGGGCTTAGAATTGGAAAGAGAGAAAAATCAGGAGGAGCTTTGTAGCCCAAGAGTTAGGGCTTTCATCTGTGAGTTGGGAGGGTCAGGTTTCAAGTCCTGCCCCAATAAATATTTGATTTATTCTTATGGTACAGAACAGCTTCCATAGGAGAGAGAGAGAGAGTCGTTTTGAAATCCTCCCGTCTTGCTTTGGGCACTCTTCCTGGGTTCATGTCTCTGTTTCAACGCTGGTGGGGTTTGGATTTATAAACAGGTCTCCCACCTGCTGCAGAAGATGAGATAGATGAGGTGGGGGTCTCGGTGCTGCTTCCTGAGAGCGAGCTGACCTGCCTTAATTGTTAAACTCCAGGAGGGGATTAATGCGTGAGAATTTCTGGCCAAGATGCATGCCTCCCCCTGGCCCACAGTTAGGCATCTAGCTTCCTTGCATTTCCTACTACCTGCTCAGGTTTGTCTCCTGCTCACTTGCTGCTTTCCTTGGTTCCCTTCCTGTGCATCAAACTCTCTGTATGGGGCTAGCTCACGGGGAGCCTGAGCTGAGGACTGCGTTGGTGCAGGACGTTCAAAAGGTGGGCACTGCCGGACTGAGCATAACTAGCGGTTGGGGCACTCCAGGCTCTTTGGGATTTGTAAGATTTGAGGTTTACGTCCCCAGCTACAAAGCAAGCCTTTGAGGCTGGGTCTAGCATAGCCCCTGCGCCTCTCTGAGCACAATTATAGCAAAGGAGTGGCTCCCTTTGAGACGCCTCACTTCTGGCTGTCCAGCACCTTGGCTCGAGCTGGGGTTGCACGCAGCCGTGCCGTAGCCTTGCATCTTCCTGCCAGTAAAAACGCAAGGCTGGGGCAGCAGCTGAGCGGTGGTTTTGAAGCTCATCCGTGGTGTCTAAGTGGTGGACTTAGGCACCTACGTAGCTTTGAGGATTAGGGCTGGGTGCCAGTCTCAGAGCTATATTATAATTTAAGAGGCCACAGTCACAATAAACTTCATATCTGTTCATCAATTCCTTCCCCGGGTTATTTAATTACCCCTTAGATAACAAGCATTTTTAAAAGGTAATTCACTGCTTGCCACTTCTGCCTTCTCCTGGCTCGGGGCAGTGGGAACGGGCTGGTCGGATGTTCGTACCCTGGCGCTGTCCTTGGTTAATGAGCTTGAGTTCTGGGTTTCCAGACCCCCCAACCTCAGAAAGCTGCTGGCAATCATGAAGTTGTCCAGGACCCAGCTCTGGCCATGCTCAAAATGCTGTAGCTAACCTCGTCTCATGGGCGCAGCCCGTTTGTCATTTCAATTAATCATAATCCTGAGCTGCCAAAGTCCCAGATTAGCGGGGTGGGGTGGGGTGTGTTGTGTTGTTTTGTTTTATTTTTTGTCGTGGCTCATGGGAAAACTAATTTGCATCTACTCAATGGCAAAAGCAAGGCGGTCGCTGGCTGCAGTGTAAGAGCAGGTGTTTATCTCTGAAGCCTGTGCATGGGGCGCAGTGGGAAGGGAGCGGCTGGCCGCAGGAGCCAAGCGTATCGATATCAAGCGTCTCCTATACCTGGACAAACAAAAAACACCTGGAGCCTGCGGTCTGGCTCCTGACTGCACTTACCAACCCCTTGGAAACTTCCCATCTTGTGTGGTTGGTGTCGAGGGAAAAGGGAAAGTGTGTCACTCTCTGCTCCCCCAAAGTTCCCAGTTTTCTTCCATTTTCCACTTCCATGGGGGGTTTTTTTGGAAATTTCCTAGCCAGGGCTCAGGGTTTTTGCCAATCACGATGCACTCGGAGATGTCCAGTCTCTTCTCGAGCTCAACTCCCCTTCTCTCCAGAACTGTCTTGATGACCCCCCCATCACTTCTCGATCACCCCTCATGATTTCCACCCCAGCCCCTTCCCTGCAAGACCTGCCAGGCGGCTGGGGGCCCAGGAATGCGGTGCAATGAAGCAGACGTGACAAGGACTGACAACTCAAGGGTTTCGAGGCTCTGCAGACGGGGAAGTGTGTGCAGCCCGTTGTTTCCCTGGGGGACTGATTAGCCTTGGTTGTGATCTCCTCTGCGCGGGAGGGATGTGCTTGGCTGGGGCTGTGGTAGACGAATGACGTGCCTGTTAATGAGCTTTCTCTTTTTTGCCTCCCCAGATGCCAGCGTCACGTTCACTTCCCTCTCTGCCGGAGCCTGCAACAGCGACTGATTACCGCTGCGTGCGCAGGATCTTTTGTGGCCCGTCCCTGGCACCGGGACAGCACGAGGGCTGACCTAGGAACTAAACTGCCCCACGTGGGCTGGGACGGGAAGCTTCACAAAGCTGCTAGTCTACCTGCTGTGTGATCAAGAGACCGAAGGAAAGTGGAGGAGGTGCCGGTTTGCAATCCTGTGGGTTTACAGCCATGCTCTACTGGAGCTGTCGCCTGCAGTTGTTGGGTGGGGAGGGAAGTGGGCCTGGCTTTGATATGCTGAGAAACATGGACATTGCTTTAAGCCTGTTTGGTAGCAGGAGGTGGGAGTAATGGCCATGCCCTGGGGTAGCAGCATAAACAGCTGGCTGGAAGAGTAAGGCCGCTAGTGCCATCTGTGCCCTCTGGAGATTGCAGTAGGCTCCCGTGATGGTTTTCCTGTGTGTGTAGGAGCACATAGCACAATAATCTCATTAGGTGCTTTCTTTGTACTGGGTTGGGGAAGAAGGGCAGTTTCTACATGTTTTTTTAAAGCAGTGAATGTTGCCAAGTGCTTTATATTGGGGGCCACTGCTGTTTAGCTGACTTTAACTTGTTTTAAAGACCTGGCGGGCGAGGGGGGTGGGAATGGTTATGGACTGTGGATGGAGGAGGGATTGGGTAATTCGGCTCTGGGCTCAGCATGGGTTAGAAACTTTGTTCTCTGCTGGGCTCTTCTGCTATGTCAGTGCCATGCCAGGGCAAGGCTACTGCAGCAAGGTGACCCAAATACCAGCTCCCATTGCCCTGCACTGAAGGCAGCCACTGAAACTTAAATTGGGAGTCCCCACTCATAATTAAGACAGCCCAAGCAGCTGACAGATCAGCAAAGTGAGGCAGGGGCTTGTTGTTTTGAAATTGGGAGCATTTGCCTTGCATGTTCACCTGCCTTCTGTTTGCAGCCTGGTAGCGTGCTGCACACGGCTGCTGCAAAGAGATTTTGCACCCCAATAATGTGCCAAAATACTAGGATGTGTGTTATGCTGCTCTGGGCAGAGCTCAAACTTGCTGCATCTTCAGTGCTTCCCCTCTGCACGGTCCCGTTCCCCAAACACTTGCACAGATGGAAGCGGTGCTAGCAAATGAACATAGGATTTGCGGTTTCCACACCTGATTGTCACCCCCCTGAGTAGGGTATCCCGCCTCTAGCAGCGCCCGATGCTTGACGCTTCCGAGAAAAGCAAAACTGAATCCAGTGAAGCATCACACCATTGGCACGGAGAATGATGGGTGGGTACAGAGGTGAGGAAAGCCCTCCTCACCCCTGTGCCACCCAGGTGAATGTTTCTGGCCATGTTGTCCTGGTCTAAATTACCCATGTTCAGTTCGTAGAGACCTTGAGTGTCACAGGTGAGCTATGCATTGGTGCTGTTTTCCACATAATAGCCACTAATTCTTAGTGTCCCTTTGTCCCCCTTGCGGGGGAGGTCTCTTAGACTGTGGCTCTTGACACAGAAGGATACAGCTTCTTACTGAGCCAGATGCATTTCCCTTGCTGGCTGGCCACAGCTGGAGATGGGCTCTGCACCTGGCCAGCCCACTGCCCTCTGGCGTACGGCTACTCCAGCATCCCTGTGAGTACTTTGAGCTGTCCTTTCCTCAGCGGATTAGCCAAATGATGCAATGTACTGAAAGCCCTTGACACAGCCTCAAATAACAAAGGCCTTTCAGGAGCCAAGAGCTGCCTTTGCTGTCAGGACGAGCACACTTTGTATACAGGGACCTCTGTACCGGACAGATTTACGTTTCTTTACATTTTGTAGTTGGCTCCCAGATCTCTGAAAACTTGAATAAAACGGTCTGGGAAACCATTTATGTCTGTGCTATGGGAGTCTTATTTTCGAAGCAAGCTGGATTTAGGTATAATAACAGGGCCGAGGAATAATCATACGCTTCACACGTTGTGGTGCCTCACGGCTGCATTTCATAAGCAATTCCATTTAACCTGGTTAGGTATAATTATCTTTGCAGTTAGGGAAACTGAGGCAGGGCATGAAGTGTGTTGTCCCAGATCAGAAAGTCATACTGCAGCTCCTCCAGAGGCGAAATCAAGGACACGACCGCATCAGGCTTCCAACCGTGAGACGAGGGGCAGAAGCGAGAGCCCTGGTGTCTGGTGCCAAGCAGATTTCAGTGGTCGCCGCTAGACACGATCCCTTTTCAGGGGAAATCTGTACTATGAGCGAAGATGCAGAGAAGAGCTTTGACTTCTGGTTTTTCGCTTTGCCATCATCCAGCTCGTCTTCTCCTGACTTCTGCAGCGCTGCAGTGCTGGAGGGGAAAGTTCATGTTCTAGCTTCCCTCTGGTCTTGCACTGCACTCACCACTGTGGTCTCCTCCACATGCACCATCTCCTCATGCCAACATCACCTCCCCTTGCTGGGCCAGTGTCAGGCATTTTATGGGATATGCCTCGCTACTGAAGCATTAGAAATTCCTCCCGACTATGAGGACACTAGAGCTTGCACAGCCTAGATGTAGGGGTAAACCAATCTGTTTTTCTTGATCTCAGCTGCAATTCAGTGGGAATTAGGCATGTGTGCGCCTTTGAAGAGCTGTGCCTATGTTCTTCATTTGTAAAAACTGGATCGGAGCGTGATCCTACCACACACAGGGCGTTGGGAGAGTAAATTCAGGAATGTAACCGAAGCAGTCAGAGGGTAGGGTGATAAAATAGGAAGAAACTTGGCCCACTTTATTCATTATTAGGACCACACAATTATGACCCCCTTTGACTACAGAAGAAATGTCCTCAATCACTTTTCATTGACTCTGATTTTTAATCTTGGCTCTGGCCGTTTAAAAAGGCCTGTCGGAAGATTTGTGCGGCGATAGTTTTGGTCACGGGGGGAAAAACCCAAGACGTTCCCCTTTGTTTCCATTCTGGATCTCGCCTGAAAGACGATGCCAAAGGGCTCACAAGTGGCTGGGCGCAGCATCAACCTGTTGCTAGGGGATTGTGTGTGAATGGAGCTACAAAAGAGTCGTAGCTTCCAGCAGCGGAGGGTTAACAGTTGGGAAAACTACAGCTGACTCTGGAGTCCCGCTGATTTGTGATTGTGAGGAGGAAAAGCAGCATTAAAAGGCATGTTGTAGAGTTCAGGTGCAACCAAGGCAGGGAAGGAGTGCAGGAGTTTTCCTTTCTTGGCTGTGCTGTGCCCTGGTTCCTAATGCACAAGTGTCTCTCACTACAGCCCCCACCCCTCCTTAATGCTGTGATAACTCTCTATCGTATAATGCTAATGGATGTGTCACCATAATAACCTGAGAAAGACCAAAGACAGGCAGCAAGCATGGAGTGGAAACCAGCTGAGGTTTGGGGTTTGGTGTGGGCTCGGCTGTGTGGTTGGCTGCCTAGCCGGGCTGGGTTTTTTCCCACCCACCCAGCTCCTGAGCCTGCCAGCAGCTGCCAGGGGAGCAGGGCACAAAGTTGCAGGGCCTGGCTCTGGGTCCTGAAGGCATTGGGCCCTGGCCAGTCCCCTGAAGGCTGCTAGCCCAGGAGAAGGTGGTGCCCTGTGAGTGCCGTTGGCTGTTTTGCCAAGTCAAACATGCCAGCCTGTTGATCCCTAGGTTTTGGGTGCAGGGCATATTTATTTTCCCTGGGTCCCTGGAGTCACTGATCCAGGAGTCCCCCAGGGCCAGCTCCTGGGCAACAGCACCGTGGCCGGCGTGCTGGTCTTCCAGCCGTGAGGGTTCACAGCCTGCTCGGGCCCATCTCTGACCAGCAGTAGCTTTCTTTATTTTTCTTAAAGTGTTCTCCATCTCACCTGGGCGACAAGCGGCAGGCCTCTTGCAACTCAGCTCCTCACCTGGGTGAAGATGCGAGTTTGGGAGCTCAACCTCCCCTCCACCTCCTGGGACGCAGGGCCAGCTCCCGGCTGTAGTTGGCTGCCTGTTCCTTTGACCACGAGCAAGTTGCTTTATCTGCAGCGGAGTCCCTGTCTGTGTAAGGCAGGGAGAGCGATTCCCTCCCTCCCAGAGGTGTTTTGGAAGGATAAATGAATGCACAACTTGGAGGGAACAGGCTGGGAGGGGAGGGCTGGATGCCAGTGCCCAAACTGGACCTGCATCAGGGCTGGCCTTCGTAGCTAGCCAGGTCTTAAAAGCCTCCAAGGATGGAGAGTCCGCAGCCTCTCTGGGTAACCTGTGCCAGTGCTTTACTACCCTCCTGATGAGAAAGTTGTTCCTAATATCTAACCTTAACTTCCCTCGCTGCAACTTGAGACCATGCTCCTTGTTCTGTCACCTGTCACCACTGGGAACAGTCCAGCTCCAACCTTTTTTGACCCCCCTTCAGGGAGTTGAAGCCTGCTGTTAAATCGCCTCGGTCTTCTCTTCTCCAGACTAAATGAGCCCAGTTCCCTCAGCCTCTCCTCATAAGCCGTGTGCCCCAGCCCCTCCATCCCTATTTTTCTGCGATTTGCCCATCCCCAGGTTTTGCCGGCTTGATGTCTTTGACCGGCAAAGAAACATCCGCAGCAGGAGAGCTGGCACTGCAGTCCCCCGCTGTTGGATGGCAATGCTGCCTTGCGTTGTTTGGACGTGGGCAATGGGCATCTTTCCAGTTCTGCTCGGGCGGCCCCGGACAGGCTGTGCAGCAGAGCAAGAAGCAGAATGAGCTTTCCATGCCCATTCTCCCTTTTCATCGGAGTCAATTAAGAAGCAAATAGCTGGAGATTTACCACCTCCAGTGTCCAGCGTAATCTCCACATTCATTTCGAGGCCGTCTCTTGGATTCTTTTGCCAAGTTAGACGCACAGTCACACTTGAGCAGCAGACATTTACAGCAAACCAACATACTCGTGAATTGATCCACTGCGGCTGGCTCACTCCGGGCCCCGTGTCTTTGCCTCACCTTGTCACCCATATCACTTTTCTTCATTAATGTCTGCTTGGCGTGAGCTTGAGGGGTTGCTCTGCATCACGTAAGCGAGCAAAGCTGTGACCACTGGAGCCAAGCAGGCTGCTGAGCTGGCCCTCCCTGAAGGTGTGCGATGCACAGGGTGGTGAGACGGCCGTTACATGGGTCCATGGAGCAGAGGCTGCCAGTGCCAACCTCCTCCGTCAGCGATCAGAGGAAGACATTGATCCTCTTCGTGATCGTTGCCTGAGCAATGCATCTCAATGCATCCCGAGTCCTACGGTGAGTCGGCTTGTACTGCAGAGGGGACCCCCCCCATGACCGCATCCTTTTTTTAAGATTGTTTTATTTTATTTTATTAATTTTTTTGGTACTTGAAAAAGCTTAATAAACACACAATGCACTCTCCATGCCCTCCTAATCTGTAGGGGGCCTTGCAATGTGGCCTCAAGTATACTTCAAAAAACTTTATAATAAGGGCCAGTATGAAGACGACCTGGGCGGGGAGTGTTAAATCTGGTTCGTGTGTATTTTAGGAACAGCCATAATAAAAGGAAAGGGAAAGAAAGAACAGGTGATACGACCGAGGAGAAATATGTTAGTTCTTCTTTTTTTAAAAAAAAACAGGGAAATAATAAAAAAACGTTACAATGAGGAACAAGGAGGTGATGGGAGGAGGGCGGGCAGCCGGGTGCAGTGAACATGCTCCCTGGTTTAGAAGAGCTGGGAGATGTTCCCTCGGATAGGTAGGAGCCAGGGAGCAATAGAGAAAGAAAAGGTCTGTATGGTTTTGCTTAGTGCTTCACCATCAAACACGCTGGTTAGTTCCTCATTCATTCCTGCCTGTCTTCATTGACCCCAGTGATCCCTAACGCGGAGAGAGGCAAACTTTGAATAAATTGATTCAGGTACTTCCTGAAAAACATTGGTTTGGGCATCCTGTTGCATCCTGCTCTCTCTTCGTGCTGCCGTTAGCTCTGCACCTTCCCAGAGCGGCAGCCCCTTCCCTTTTACACCGAGCAAGTTCTCCTGCAAGCTCCGTCCTGGGCTCTTATGTTGCCTTTCCCCCTCTTTCCC